TGTTGCTATAATCTGACTTTCAGTTTCCCCTTTCATATCTTCTTTTTTTAGCCATGGAAATGTTTTTATTATTATTTCATTATTTTTATTGTTGTTGTATTATTTATTATTATTTACTTTAATTACAAATTGTGTAACAACCTGGTGGCACGCTCCCATTGTGTTAAAGATCTCGGTGTTCTACTGGACTGTAAGCTTTATTTTCTCCAGCATATCAACTATATATTCTCACAAGGCTTAAAAATGCTAGGTTTGATTCGGTATATTACTTCTTCCTTCTCCACTGTTGATAGCCTATTGGTTTTGTACAGTACTTTAGTCCGTTCCAAAATTGAGTATGCATCCGTTGTTTGGAACTCTGTTACTAATACTGATTCCTTTAAATTGGAAAGGATTCAAAGGAAATTTGTAGCTCTATGTTACACTAGATTCTTTAATGGCGTTTGTGCCTATAATTACAATGAAATATTAGTTAGATTAAACTTCTTATCGTTACATTTAAGGAGGAGGCTTTTGGATGCGCTTTTCCTCATCAATGTTTTTAAAGGCAAAATTAGTTGCTCATCTGTTTTTGATAGAGTTAGTCTCTGCGTACCCACTAGGTCTATCAGAGTCTACTCTACCTTTACTGTACAACGTAATTTCAAGGTCAGTCCCTCTGCCAGATGTGTTTCTGCTACCAATGCAGTCTGTAGGAGCATCGACATCTTTAACAAAGACCGTGTTTTGCTTACTGAGTTCAGCCAGCTTTTTAAACAATAATCATTGTTTTTTATTGTTTATTTAGTATAACATTTTATTTTGTATGTTGTTTGTCCAAAATTAAACTGTTTTTAGTTTAATTATTACTTTACTTATCTATAACATTTAGTTTTTTACTTATGAGTTATTTTGCAATAAATCAATATTGTACAGTTATGTTTTCAGTTCTTTGTTTGTTTGCTTTTGTATTGTAATGTTTGTATTGTTGTTAGTGCTTGGCTGTTATTGGCCTTTTTGGCTGTTGTCAAGCACTTTAATAAATGAATTGAATTGAACTTGTTTAGAAAAAATAAAGAAATTACACAATTTGTTAACGTCGTTTTTTAGTTTGATATGATTGAACTATGATTGTTTAAAGTTTAGAACGTTTTATCAAACTGGCATCATTTCCATGATTTATTAGGTATTAATGGCTTTAAGAGCAATGTGAATTGTCATTTCAACATGGTCACTGTTTGCATTCGTGTACCTGCAAGGTAAATAAGGGAATTTTCTGTTATTAGCGTGAAAACTTCATAAAGACAAACTCCATCAGCAAATGTATTTTTTGCTGAAAATGACACGTGTAGATTTTTGGACATTTCTGTTAAAAATGATGTCTCCTTTAAAGACACTTTCTCCATACGAAAAAGTATTAAGATTAATTATAAACAATTAGTTTTGTTTTCACTTATTTCTGGTTATTTTCTGTTTTTTGATATGTATTTTATCATTTTGTGCAAATCATATAATAGGCTAATGTAGCTGATGAATTGGCACTTTTAAATAAATAATTGAATTGAATTGATAGGAAGAGAGTGCCCACAGTGTCACTACTAAGAAATTTGACAAATTATTGCACTTCTGATCAGTCTTTTAAACATGATCTTTCGATAAGTATCGTTGAGTTTTATAGAAGCAAATATTATCCATAAACCCAAGAACATTTGTCTGCTGTCATTTACGGTGATTAGTTTTAAAAGAATTCGCCAGGATTTAACCATTCCTTCTGCATGAATACAGACAGCTGTTAAGCCCCATATTCCTGCTTAGGTTAACTGCGCCCTCAGTGTGTTGAATTCTGAAATGTGTTGTGCAGCGGCAAACTCAGAATAGGAATTAAATATTTAGAGTAATTTTATTTAGACAGAATTTATGCTTATAATCTTATAATTATGATTCTTAATATCAAACATATTAAAATTAATTTTGAGAATGGAAGCTTTCTACGTTCTTATAATAAAAGTCAAAAATAGAACTGTTTATAAGAACATTAATGAGACTCCCAGGTAACTGTCCTTCTGTTTAACAATAACATTAATCTAAGTTTCCATTTTGGACACGCAAGACCAAAAGTATACATTTTATGTAAGATTTTTAACTTTTACGGATATCCATTTTAATTACCTTATCAGTGATGTTAATTTGCTTACCGATTAATTTGGTGTTATGTTAGATAGTAAACTGGGTTCTCATTGTCATTTTAATTATGCGCATTCTGAAACACTAAGGACTTTAGGGCTTATATTACATTACATAAAAAGTTTTTTTTTAAATTTTCATATAATGCTTTTAATTAGGTGAAAGCTTCTGCCATATAGGGTAACCTAACATGGACTGATTGAATAAAACAGTAAATACACTAAACAATTTGTTAATTTCTGTCTTTATAGTTTTCCTGGTTTGACATTTCACGTACTTATGATTCTAATTTGAATTGTTTATATTGTGGAAAACTACATTACAGAAAACTTACCGATGCTTTATGTCTTATTAACCCTTCTAACGGCAAAATAAATTGTCATTCCATTAGGACAGTCTTGTTATTCTTGTGTGTAAAAGTCAAAATAAAATTGTTGCTAGTTGTAGCATTATCAGTGAAGTAAAACATTCACCTACGGCCAGGTTCGCCTTTGTCGAAAATTATATGCAGATTTTTGGACGTGTTTAACAAGAACAGCCTCTTTGACGACACTTTCTCCGAACTAATAAGTGTCTAGATTTATTATGTGTTTAGTTACTTTTAATTTCTTCCTTTTCACAAAATTTCTATTAGTACTACATGCTTTTGTTAGTTTCTGCTTCTTGCAACGGAATTTAATTTAATTATCTTCTGTACTGCAGTTGGTAATAGTACCTAGTTAGAACTTCATGGTTAATTATCTCCATGACTCAGAGTCGTTTTTGAGAAGTAGCAGTTACTGGCGAAGTAAGAATTTCCCCGTCTTTTATAGAACATGAAGATTCATTAAAGTTTTCGAGAGATATAAACTTGTTGCTTGGATATGTGCCACGCTTTGTAGTGCTAACTTTGTTACAACTTCAAGCCTAACGAGAAATGAAGCTGAGCATTTCACTCATCACACTGCAGTGTGACACAACTGTCGTGACCAGATGACAGGTGTCCAGAATGAACTGTATGTCTTGTTGTAATATAATCCGACATTCACGCTAGCGTTTCCAGTTATTTTGCGAGTGTCTTGGACATGATTATGATGGTTGAAACTTAGCATTAAATCAGATTACCATTTCGATATCAAACATGTTTTTCGTGAAGTATTTAATACTATCTTTTCCGAAACACTTTTATATGTTCGTTTGATCGCTGTAGTAAGTTCTATGCAATCGCATGCATTTCATTTCTTGTTAGTCAATATTTCTAGTCGTTTGTGTTTGAAGTATTCTGTCAGAATATTCTATAGATGTGGTGTTGTTTTAAAATGATTTAGTGTATGAATTCATTATTTGCTGGAATCTCCTACAGTAGGCGGCCATTTTGAAGATTCTGGGAGAAGGATAATGATAACAAATACTAGAGATATAGAAAAATATTTTCTTAAGTTGTGATATGGATTGAATTGCATAGAGAGTGAGAAACATAAGCTACTTCGTTACAGAAATTCGTTTAGAATGTTCAGTTTAGGTTCACAGGCACTCACGATATCAATGTCGGTCTTCTCGGCTGCAATGTTGTGTGCATTTGTAGGTAGGAACTTCAACGGTGTTAATTCAGGGTGTTAAATGTTGCTCCTATCTGTACACTCACCCATAAAAGCCATCCGTCAGTCCGTCCGTTCGTCTTACCCGGTTTCTTGACAAAACCTCGTCGTACAAAAAATGGTTTATGCCAAAAATTTAAGTCTTGCAGTGACGATAGCGGGGAAATTGCCCCATTTACTGTTTGTTTATATTATAATCAGAGATGTTCAAAACATAAAACAACGTGTTTCGCCGAAATCGTAATTCTTATGATAGTGGCAAGTACAAAATAAATTGTCCGTCTTGAAGAGACAAACCCTAAAAAATTATGGACTTTTCTCTGTTTCCAAAATTGAATAAAATGATACAGGTCCAAAATTTTACACAACTTCGCGTCTTTCTCAACCGCGCGTCGTAATAAAAGTATTAACATTAAACATTTTCTTTTGTTTATAAAATTGAGCATTGCTAACATAGAGGAATCTTTTAGACCAGTCATTAAAATGACTGACTACCGATTAGATGACTGGGGTTTGATCCCCGGAAGGGGCATTGGATTATTCTTCTGGCCTCAGCGTCAACACCGCCTCTGGGGACTAATCAGGCCCCCCCCCCCCAGTCCATCCAGTGGGTACCGGTGGTACTTTCCTCGGTGTTAAATAACTGCCCGTCGTGTTGCTGACCATTCACCACCATCCAGAGCCGAAGCCAAGCACCAGAAAGAGATCTACCCCCGTTGCCTCACCGTAAAGTCTTCACGGCGTCTACCGAGAGCAGCTTTGATTTATGATGGCACAGTCGTACATTACTTATTGTACGTACATGTCCACGTTATCATATTATGAATATTTTGATTTTGTGGATACTTAACCTGAAATACATACTACCAGACTACACGGCGCAACAAACCAGAAGACAGCCATCTTCCTACTCACCGCCGTGAAAACCTACATGAGCTTATGCTGTTAAAACAGGTTATATCAAACTGTACTGCTGTGGTATGCGCCTAATTCTGCACTGATCTCTGACGGCTTGGCAAGTGTGAAGGTAATAATCCACATTTTCGATGACTGGATTATTGTGAAGCTTAATAGGATAGATTGTTGACTTTCTTACACGTAAGAGAATGCTGGAAATTCCGCGTTGGATGAAACTGGTTTCGAACCAGAACCATGCAATGCCATCTAAGGTCATTTATTCTTTTACTGCCTTCCCCTCAACCTACCCTCCGTTTCGACCTTCCACCCCTAACGCTTTGATGCTCCTGGCATTTGCCTTCTTGCTTCCGACAGGCTATGTGTGTGTGTGTGTGCGCGTGCTCGTGCTTTTCTGTTCTTTGACGTTGTTGTATCTGGTAAGTAACTCCGCCCGGCTCAAGCTGTTTCAGACATTGTGATGATCGCCTGTAGAATTTAAAGTGGTCCGCTTGGGCAAATATACTTGGAAACTTCTTTTATGCATCATCCCCTGATTTGGCCTCATATGTCAGTAAATCATTTCAGGAGCATTTATTCAGATTTCATAATTCCCTTAAGGACCTTTTCTGGCAATTGTCTCATGCCTAGTTTTACTTCATTAATTTAGTTTTGTTATTCCTAACTCATGTTACATTCGTTCTGTTCTTTTATTTGTTGAATTAATTTTATAACTTTGGGCTGATATCTTACCGATTTAAAATTGCTGCATTTGTACTAGTGTCATATTGATGTAATTAATGTTGCTTTTGTCTTGAGAAAGTTACCTTGTTATACAATTCTAAGATTATTGTAAATGCATTGTAATAATTATCGAATAGTTGATCTTCGCGATTCTTGCTGTTAATTAATTAACTTTCTACCCGATTCCCACCCCTTCTGTTTTTACCTCTATTATTATTTCAGCACGTTACCCACTCAGTTTGTTCCAACAAGAAAGTACTAGTGCAACCTATTTTTCTATGACCGAGATAGTAAATTTCGGCCTGCGATTGAAATAAATTCGTTGCAGCAATGTTAATATAGGCCTCTGAAGAACACAACAGTCTGGAAGCCTAAACTATCACTTCTTCATACATAATATAAAAAATATTTTAATCGCAATAATAAATCAGTCATTGAACAGTATAAAAATTAATATGTAAATAAACGAATTGATACCTAAATGAGGACTAAAATTTGTTTACCTTACCAGTACAACGATTTACAAATTTTGTTTTGTGTATCTGTAACTGGTAATGAGACATATAAGTCGATCCACATTCTGTAGTCGCACTCAGCTCTCGATTCCTTGCATCGAAATGTGTAAAATAAACATTGAAATAGGAGGTCGTATTTATTTGTTTGCATTTTGCAAGACGTATGAATTGATTTTAATAAAATTTGTAACAGTAGTTTTATTTTCAGTTTAATTTAAACAGTTAAACTTTGTTGATATTAAAAAATTACTCCTGGTACAGAAAACTTTACGAGAAAAGCATGATACAGAACTGATTTTTAATTACAAACGATAATACACGCCAGTGACGGAAGCGACACATTGAGAGCGATGCCTACGTGTACTCTCTGGAGTACATCCTCTCACTCCTATTATTATATGACGTCACTATGACACAGTATGAGTTGAAATGAAGTTTCCTGAGAAAACTCTCAATCAGTAAATATTTATAGCCACAGTTTCACGTAATTCCACTCATAATCTTACGTTGTAATTTTCGAAACGAAATAGACAGTTAAAATAAATGCCGACTGAGTCCTACAAATCGTTTTTGAAAGCTGGAAAACTCCCAACGGGGTCCGTCCCAATGACGCCTACAATTTGTTACACACGAGAAATAAGAAAAAGACTTGGTCCCAGACAACAGACTGAGCTACTCGTCGAGCAGAAAAGAATTATAGCTTGAGTATAGTAGTACTTGATTACCATGACAACCCCCCCGCCGCAATACGTAGCTGTGCTGTTTTATCGTCTCGTTTCTTAAGCGAGATCAAACTGTACGTTTGACGTCAAAACAAAAATAACTTTATTTCTGTTGTAAAGAAAAGTTAGATTTAAGATGAGAAAGAAACAAATTGGAGTAAACTTTTGAGTCTTGATTTATTTAACGACACTTCCAAGACTGCACTTGTTGTGAAGGGTAGAATGGGGGAATAATTCTGAAAAATGAATTCATAAGTTTGTGTTAGGAGGACGTAGTTATTATTTAAAGTACTGTTCCAGAATCTGCCTATAGGGATAGAATTAGACCATGAAGTGTATTTTGAGGTTAGAGGACTCACCTTCTGTAATTTTAACCCAAGGCGTCTCTAATACGAAACGTAAGTGCTAACCATATTGCTCTATGCAGGGTTATCGCGTGCCATAAAGCTATCAAAGAGCTATGTAATTACATCTAAATGTGATCTGCTAGTTGTATGTAATGAATTCGTTGGAACATCTCTCTCGTGCAATACGTGTTAAACAAGTTTGCCCTGTAAGCTTTTACAAACTAATTTCCGGATCCAAGTGAGTTTAAAAAAATGCAGTGGCGGAGCTCGAAATTTAAAAAAAAATAGCCAAATTCCGAAGCGGGTGGGGGGGTTGTGAAATATTTTGCAATTCTTTTTACCTGCAGGCTGCTATCGTACTTCGCCTTTCATGATGCACAATTGCACAATCAAAAGTAACAACATGGCACAACTGTACAACGAATATTACGCAGGTATAATTTTGAGATGCGTGATGTCAAAAGAATGCGTGAAAGCAACTGTTAATGCCCCAAAAGTGGCTAACTTGAGAATTTAGAATGTATCACAGTTCGTCTTCCGCCGGCCGGTAGACAAAACCGGGTGGCCTTGTCCACGGAGACGGCAGGCGCGCGGAAAATGTTTCACTCGAGTCGAGGTGAGTCTGTGCACGGGTGCGGTAGAATGGATACGGATGTATGCACCCTCATTGCACTATATTATTTTTACA